TCATTACTGGTTAGTGCATAGAGTCATTAAATCATAAAAACTGAAGAAATTTGTTAAAAATATATAATAAAATCACCTGATTGCACATTTCCCATTGTTGCCTCTTATATAATGGAAATTTCACTAAAAGCTCAAGAGGAAGTTAAAAAAGTTTGTTGTTTCAGTCTAAATGAATGTTTTCATAATGCCATCTCCAGATTTGACTTGTTGAGCTGCAGCCAGCTGAAATGGGAAGACATGGGGAGTTATTTAGGGGGCAAATCAGCAAAAGCCTCCCCTCTGCAGGTTGAGACAGGTTAACTGAAATTCCAATCTTTCTCTTTTTTCCTTCCTTCTTTCATATGGTTGGAGGCAAGGTCCTCAGCACCCTCTCTACACTGATTCAAACTCAAAACATGGCCTTTACCCACCTACATTCTTTCCAGACAAAACCGTAACCTGGTAACTGCAGACCCTCCCCCTCTTTGCTCATAGTCTCTGTTAAGCTCCTTTTAAAGCAAAGCGCTCCATTCTGATGTGATGTTCAAATATTCAAATCAGTTGTTCTGCAGCTGCGGCAAGCTGCTTTAAAAGCTCAGTCTCCCAAGGTTGCATTTCTCCTTGTAAAGGATGTTCTCCGTCAGTATGGCAGCACCCTCACTGGGTACTCCGGCTTTTTCCAACAGACCAAAAAGGCTTTAAAGGCAAAATGTGAACCAAGTTGACGTCTTAAGTACACGCTGCTGTGCAGAACATGTAAAGCCTGATTCTTTCATTCATGTTTCCTGTATTTAATTTCTTAAATCACTTAAAATGAGATGAAAATATGTGCTAAAAAAATGCAGGTCTGCTGATTTACTTTATAAACCAGGTTACAGAGGACAATCAAGGCACATTTTCTTCCTTCAGGGGATTAATTTTAAAAGCAAAAAAACATATTTGGATTATTTCGAAATTGCTCTCATCAAATCTTCATTAAGTCATAAAAGGAAACACAATGATTGAGCTCCTAAACATTGACTCTGATTAAAACCTTGATGGATTCTGAATAGCACAGCTGGCAGAGTTGGCATGCAGCCCACTTCTATTTAATGAAGAACTGAGCCCTGAAACTATTCATGCTGCTCTTTCATGGTGACCCTTTCTTTTCTTTCTTATTGCAGTGACAAGGTAAACATCCCATCCTGCTAACTTTAACAAGCTATACACACTTTTAGTGCTCCGGGGTTAAATAGAAAGAACAAATGGAGGACTTAGAAGAAGGAAGGAGACATTTTCTGAGATGATTTACTGGCTGGTCGATTTAAAATCATGCCATAAAAAAAAAAGATGAGGATTGGAAGCTTTCACCACTTAGACCCAGACAAACCTTATTATCATTTTGTATATAAAAAGTGTATACAAAACGAAATTTCATTTTAAACAGCTCTCATTATATTTCCATTTCTTAAAGTGAAACAGTGATCAAATGTAAACATAAGACTGTGATATGATTTACAGTCTCTCTCCAAGATTCAGCTTTTTTTCCCATTTTATCAAACATTCAGCAGTCTGATGGCGGTGGGGAAGAAGCTGTTTTGGAATCTGCTGGACCTGCATCGAATGCTGCAAAGACTCTTCCCAGAGGGCAGTCCATGGTGGGGGGTGTGAGGGGTCATTTATGATGTTACGGGCTCGGGACACGCAGTGCTGGGATGAAATGTCTTTAATGGAGGGAAGAGGAGCCCCGATGATCCTCTCTGCTGTTCTCACCACTCTCCTCACCTTCTTCCAGTCTGAGGCGCTGCAGCCTCCACACCACACAGTGAAACAGCTGGTCAGAACGCTCTCTATGGTGCTTCTGTAGAAGGTGGGGAGGATGGATGGGGGCAGATGGGTTCTCCTCATCCTCAGCAGGAAGTATTTGCACTTTTGTGGCCTTTTGACCAGTGAGGTGGTGTTTACAGTCCCGGTGAGGTTATCTGTGTTGTGCACACCCAGAAATGTGCACCTCCAGTCAAATTAAAGTATCAACTCCTGTAAATTCACTTTACTTTTAAAATCCATTAACAAGGAAAAAAATACACTGAAATATTTTTTTCCAGGTAAATATGTACTAAGTCAAAGGTAATAGTGTTACTAGGGGTTGTAACGAATTGTAACGTGAATGTGGCCTGATTACCCGATTAATTCAAAATAGGTGTAACCAGCACTGCAACGCCATGAGTTACAACTAAAGCAGTCTACTCAGTTGACGAATAGAGATGATGGGCAGGCATTGTCGTCATTAATCAATATATTCTCATTATCAGTTCGTATGAAATCGTACGAAAAGTTATGCACACTATTTAGTACGTTTTGGACGTTTTTCCTCAAAAAAACACATCAGTGCGCATGTGCAGGCAGACAGACAAAAAAAACAGATCCGCGGACGGATGTAAAACTGGGAAAAACAGTGCAATAATTACTTCTTTGTGTCTCTAACTACATTGCTTGCTGTTTTATATCTTAGGGTTAGGGTCAGGGTTAGGGTTAATTGTATGTTAAATTCTATGTTATTGAATGGTGCGTAACATGCGCATACAGCGAAAAAAAACGTCCAAAACGTACGAAATTACAGTGCATAACTTTTCATACGATTTCATACGAACTCATAATGAGAATACACTGCATTAATTGAATGACTTACATTTATCATGGAGACAGTTTTAAGAACTTATGAAGCATTTCAGGTTCTTTAGCTTGTTAAAAAAAACAATAAAAAGATGCAACTATTTATTTTCACAATTTTTAAAACTACATTTAAAGCTCTAAGTTATCATGAATTATAAATCCTGTGTCTGTGGTCAATGAATATACCAAAATTTGATATTTACTCTTTGAAAGTTTAATCTTTTTGCAAAACTTAATTCCTAAGTAAATTTATGCTTATATGTATCGGTATTTTTTTTTCTAAATTGCAAAAATCAAGTTAAAACAAAGCGAAAAACGTGTTTATGATCTGTCATAAGTTATAGTTTTACTTTGTATGAATTCAGTTTCTTTCTTTGTCTGAAGGTGAAAAAATTATTTCTAATAAATCAAAATTTGTACTTTCAAACATCTCACGCATTTAATTTGAGAAAAACAAATAAATGTAAGTGTAGCAAATTACTGTAATTTTCTTAAGTTGATCCAAAGTATCTTTTTTTCAGTGTAGAGTGAAGCCGTGGAAACTAAAGTGCAACAAAATGATTAGATGGGTTAGAACGACTGCAGGCTGAGCTCACAGCCTGGATCACTAATATAAGTGTATTAGTCTCTCACTATTGCTTATCAAAGAAATAGATGAGCAGTTCAGCTTTACTTCTAATTCCAGATCAAACCGAATAAATCAGAAAACATTCCCAGCATCATTTGTTTCATCTCCATTCATTTTCTGACTAGGCGGAGCGGAGACCAAAAAGGTCACAGTTTAAGTTGCTCCTTTTGTGTTAGAGTAGCCGTTCCCTCCACAATATGGAGCCGTGCTGCATTCAAGACCTTCAGCAAAGGAACAACCCTGTTCGGTTCAAAGGTTCCCAAAGATATCAATGCTATTCATACCTTAACGTGTCTGTGCAACGCACTGTGATACCATCACACAAATCACACTTGCAAAAGACATCAGATTCAAACAAACACCTCCCCCTATCTGACACACACACAGTGTCTGTCCCCTGTTTAATGAAGAGGAAGGCACTCGAGCAGGACCAGCAGCCATTAAAGAGCTGCATTCAGGAGCATAAGGAGGTGGTTCAAGAACAATATTCAAGGAAAGAAGTTGAAGTGGTGCATAAGGTGAGCATGCAGGAGCTTTGAGTGAGTGAAAAAAGACCCAAGTGGTTCCATACATGAGGATGTAAGCATGCTAAACAAGTGTGAGAATATACATTTTTTTCCCATCCAAGCTGCAGAATCAATGAGATTAAAACAAGACATCCGAAGGAAACATCTCTCTAACCTTTAAATCATTTCCTCGATGAGGTTATGAAAATTTGGAAAGCTCACTATTTTGACAGTTGTTACACTGAGTTTTAGATTTCTATCAGGCTAAGTAGCAGAATAACAGCCAATTAGATGTTTTAAAAAAAATGTCATCTAGCTATTTAGGGTTCAGTTATTTATTTTCCAAGAAAGTACTCTTAGTTCAGTGCTTCCTGTGTTTAGCTTCCATGAAAAATCTCAGGGCTGCCAATTAAAAATCAACTCTCCTTTCCTTCTTTCCCAAATAAAACAACCCTAACTTGCTGCTTCTTTGTTTAGATTATTTTTATTTATACACTGTATAAAACAGCTTATTTGGCAAACACCAATAACTAAGTATTGTATTTTTATTTTGTTTATTTCCCATTGAAAGTACTCCTAGTTCAGTGGGTTCAGTCTTCTCAAACTCTCTTAGAGGTTTCCTCCAGACAGAAGGAGTTCTTCCTCTCCACTGTCACCAGATGCTTCCTCAAAACAACCAGTTTCTGCAAAGATAAAACTTTAGCAACTGCCTTTAAATGTTCAGCTGTGTTAGACTGAACTGAGTCATTATTGGAACCAGATCTCGGAGTCTAATAAGTGGGCATGTTTGGGACGTATTGGTCTTGTATATAAAACATTTGTTCTGAATTGGCACCATATGAATAAAATGAACTGAAATGACTTGAATATAGTTTAATTCAAGACACAATTAACTTATTATAAGACTGAATTCATTCGCATAAATATGTTCAATATTTTGCTAGAGGAACAAATGTTACCAAATTGAAAATTCAGAGACAGCTTTTAGAGATCCAATAATTTCTCCTAGATTAGTCTTCATTTGAGACCTTTTTTGCATAGATGGTCTTTTAATAATGAAACCTGGAACTGATCTGAAATAAATAATCCACCTGCCTCTATGTCACCACACAGGAACCAGAAAAGAGGTCAACATCAGGCTCCCATAAACCCTGGAGTCACACGCTGAGTTTGTTCTGCTAACAGCCAGAAATCAAAAGGTCTCGTGGTTTCAGGAGGCTTTTAGTAAATCCTACCTGTCCCAGATCCAGCGTGACGTTGACCTGGTTGAACTCCGTGCTGCGGGACAGAGGCGGGCTCTGCCACCATCTCTCTGTCCCATCGATGGCGTTAGTGATGGGATGGGCCCGATCGCTGTCCTCCTGGCTGCAGATGTCACAGTATTGCCCCTAAGGAGACAGACAAGGAGAAAAGAGAGTCTTGATAGGTGCAGCTTAGACATAAAACCTGGTATCATCAATCTTCCTGTGACACAAGCATGTGGTTCACTTTCACTTTCCATTTTAGATAAAATCCCACTAAATGCTGTTCATACATTTTAACTTAAAAGGTTTTTATGAATACTATATTCACCGATCTGTAAGCTGTCTTCCAATCGCTGATTGTTTTGGTTTCTTTAAGTAGGACCTGCCTGGAAAACCTCAAAACCAAATATCCAAGAGGAATCCTAACCAGAAGGTAGATCCCTCTCAGCTGACCTCTTTAGGATTCAGAGGAGCAGAACTTCTTCTCTGAGCTGCCCGTGGATGAGGGATCCTCTCCTTATCTCTGGAGCAAAGCCTCCCTATAGAGGACGTTCTTTGTGTCATTTCAAATTTAAGATGCTGAGGTGTGTAGCTCTTTAGGATTAGATTGGAAAGTTTGGATGACCTGATATTTATATATTTTCTTAAAAAAAAAAGACTAATAGCTAATGAGCTCTAAATAATCTTTGTTACAAATGTTACACTAGCTGTATATAACCTATTACTGCGTGACCTACAACCGGTGACCTTTAAAACACTCATGGTGCCATTTATCGTGGATTTCAGGATACAAAAAGTTTCCATCAGGGAAACAAAACCTAAGGGTTTACGCTCAAACCTTGAATTTAAGAATGTTTCAGCTTCTTTGATCACAACTAAAGATGGAAATGTTTCTATGCGATTGCATTTTTACAGAAGTTTGTTAAATTAAAGATCTGGGTTCATGTTTCAAAGACGAAGCCACCTATTTCTGTCATGTCCAGGCTCCAGCAAAACAATTTCCCTTTAACAACAATAAAAATACTGTTTTTTTTTCTCATTTTCTGAGGGACTTCAATATTAAATATACCAAAATACATGTTTTATTCTTGGTCCATAAGTAACATAAATCAGATGCCTCTACAAGCAGCAGTCCCTTCATCTATTTTGCGCTCTAATCCTCCTCATTATTTACAAATCAAATAGTTATCTTAGAGATTAACCTGGGTGGTAATTTAAGGATAACTGAGATTAAAAGGCGTCATCTCTGTAGCTCAGTAGGTTCAAAGATTTTCTGCCGTCTCTTGTGTTAGATAGCGTTAATATAACCATCTATTATTTGCTATAAATTTCCTCCCACCCTGATTTGCATTTTGATAAATTTCAAGTATTTTCAAATTGGAGGTAAAAATTGAATTTGCAAAATTGTTATCACCTCTTTGATCTCCTCAAAAATGAAAACAGAGAAATAGAGATAAAACCATGAGATGCTTAAATTGAGCTGATGGGTTTATTCAAAGGCTTTAAATTCCTGCTGTTAGTGTTCTAGTTATAGAACTTTGTTTATTGCAACTTGGAAAAATGGAGGAAAAAAAAAAATTTAAAAAGAGATTTATCTCTTTTCTACTAAACCTACAGATGGATTCATTCAATGATTCCTAAACAGATTGACATTTATAAAAGTGAGGGTGAATAACTCCAAAAAAGTAAAAAAACAACAACAATCGACTGGACTTTGTTACCAAGTTTGAAGACGTTTCGCTTCCCATCCAGGAAGCTTTCTCCAATTCAAAATGTCAGAATTAGCGTTGAGTTTGAGGCTTTATAGAGTGGGTGTATAATGTTCAGAAAATTCAATAACTACTTTGGTTAGTGTAGGGAAATATGTTTTTTTTTTTTTGGTAATTTAAAGTTTCTTTAAACAGCAATTTTAGAGATTCCTCTAAGTTCCAGTTTTAGTAAACCGCCTCGGGGCACATTTATTTATTTATTCTTGGAAGCTGCCTGCTGCTCTTTATCAGCCTCCGCTGACTGATCCTAATCTTGCAGAAAGATCTCCTTCAGCGTCTGTTAAACAACACCTTTTCATGTGTACACCTCGTGGGGCCAACTCCAAATTTAAGCTGAATTTTTTTTTCCTTCTTCTTTTGGCTCTCAGGTCCTGAAAATCTCCCGGTAACAGGGAGCGTAAAGCCATCCTGATTGGAGGACATGGGTCAGTCGCTGAGAGGAATGTGGGGAACAGGTGGGAAAAGACGAGGAGAAGGTTTTATGTGGTCTCCCAGAGGCTTGCTTTATTAGTTAACCCATTAAACCACAATTAACTTTTGTGTGTTAACAGCCGTAACCAACAGGCTTAGACGTTAAAAAGAGGCCCTCAGGCTCACAAACCCATCATAACATTAAAAACTCTCCAACAGAAAGAAAAAGGATGAAGCTGAAAAATAGGCCCAAGTTGGATTAACTTAGTTTTCACCTTTAATGAAATGCTGGCTGCTCTTATATAACTGAGCCCTGTTAAGCTTTGCCAAGTCCTACAAAGTAAGCGATGCATGAAATGATGACTTGGCAGAGCAGCTGGAGCTTCGCGCCCACTCTGACCCACTCAGTTCAGATGAGTCCACAGTTCAGACACATATATCTGTGATATATGAATGCAGCAGTGAACAGTTATCTTAAAATACATTAAATCAAAATAGATTACTTCAATGAGGCAATATCGGGGGCTTTTTGCACACCTTCTGACCTATTTTTCAGTACTTTAAATCTGATTATGCAAATCCAAAAAATGTAACTTTATTCATTAGTTACTACCAAAGTTTTTTTTTGTTAACATGTCAACAAAAGGTCCTTCTGCTTATTTTGTTTAAAAAAATCCTGCACAGTTTTGTTTTGTTAGCTGTGCATAAACAACATTCTAAGTTAACTGATTGTCTGCATTTATGGTCCTGATTAGACTTTCTAAACCTTATAGAAATAATACAAAATTTAAAAATTCCAACTCAACTAACAACAAATAAAGCTTTTTTGAATCCTGATCAAAAAATGCAATGATTTGGTGTCTCTTTTAACTTGTGAGGATGTTTTTATTTTCAAATGCATTACTTAAATACATCTATATACATCCCCAGACCAAGATGCACACAGAAAACATAACAATGCTATATTATGTTTTGGTATCAGAGAAAAAAGGAAATCAAAATGAGCGGAAATGAGCAATAACGGCATATTGGATGTTATTTTCTTGTGTAATCTAGAGCTATTGGAAAGCTGTTGCCTTTTCCAAAAAATAGATTGCAGGAAACTATAGTATATATATATAGCATATTACGACATTGATATTAATAACAAAAACAAGTAATAGCGAAGAAAACAAAATATGTCTCCAATTCATCCATTTTCTGACACGCTTAATCCCAAGTGGGGACACCAGGGGTGCTGAACAGGATGCCAGTGCATTGCAGGGCAACACAGAGAGACAAACAACCATTCACACCTAAGCAGAATTTTGAGAAGCCAATTAACATAATTGATTTTGGACTGTGGGAGGAAGCCAGAGTACCCAGAGAGAGCCCACGCATGCAGAAAGACCCCAAGCCAGGAATCGAGCCCACAACCTTCTTGCTGCAAGGCAGCAGTGTCCCACTATGTCTGCAAGCATGGAAGTCCAATCAGAAAGTTTAAAATTAAATCTATAAACGCAACAGATCTGGATAGGTGGAAGAAGAAAAAAAATTTATTGGGTTAAATCCGAGCGAATTAGACTAAATGCAAAACTTCTACCTTAAAGTTTAAGCTGCAATAATTAGTTCTCTAAATGCAGATATTTAGAGAAATAATACCTTTAACCACATCAGAAATGTATAATAGTTGATTTTAAGTTCTGTATGCAGTAATAAAGTGAAATGATCTTATTATAAGCGCAGTTCTGTGGCGCAGCCGGAAGTTTGGAAAACTTTCTGGACTCACCTGGATTGTCTGGCTCGGGTCCCCGGACACCGGGCCCCCGACCAGCTTACAGTACAGGTCCTGCAGGCTCCTGCCGCTCTCGTCCTCCCCGCAGGTCGCCGTGGCGGTGATCTTGGTCCCCTCCGCCAGGTTGAAGTAGGGCGGGTGGAGGCTGTATCCGTTCAGGCCGCCGGCCGGCAGCTCCTGCGCCGCAGCGAGGCAGCAGCAGCAGCCCAGGAGCAGCACCCATAACCCGGCTCCGTTCATCACCTGTCCGCTCGATCCGCCTGGAGGTGTAAGGCCTGCTGTTAACTGAAGCAGAGCTGATGCAGCATCTGCAGGAAGAAGTCAGTGCAGGATGAATAACTCCAAAGAGGAAAGCAACATAAAAAAAGAAGGAGAGCTGATGGAAATGCTGGAGATCAGAGCCTCGGAGTGTCTGTTCTCCCTCCTGGTGACAGAGTCCTACTAAAACCTCCTAGTCCTCCCCCCTCTGTCTCCTTCAGCCTGTCCCCCAGTGGTTAAAGAGGGGAAACACTCACCACTCCTTCATTCACTTCACACACTTTACTAAATGTTTTAATCCATTCCAATATTTCTTATTTCTCCATTTCTTCTCATTTCTATTTTTAGTAGGACTTTTCTTCTTTATTTTCCTAAAATATTTCTGCTTGACTGAGTTATTTTTCAAGACTTTAAACCATACAATCATCTCTTGCTGGGTTTCAGTTTGCTCAGACATGAGTCAAGTGTAGAACTTTGGTCAGGTGATAACAGCTGGGAGTTTTTTATTACCTGAGCAGAAATACCTGCATATTTGTTCACTGATGTAAGCGTAGAGTCCATCCAGTCCAAATGATAGCCTAAAGCGCAGCATATATATCCTCGAACCCCCAACGCTCCTATTCTGACAAAAATAATTGGATGATTCAATTCAATTCAGTTTATTTCTATAGCACCAATTCACAACACATCATCTTAAGGAACTTTACAGTTCACCAGATCATACAGTCAAATTGATTCAAAGTTTTCTATCTAAGGAAAACCAGTTGATTGCATCGACTCATTGACTAGAATGCAATCCCTTACACTAAGCATGCTTGTAGCAACAGTGGAGAGGAAAAACTCCCTTTTAACAGGAAGAAACCTCCAGCAGAACCAGGCTCAAAATCATCTGCCAAGGCCGACTGGGGTTCAAGGAGACAGAAGCAGAGATACAAAAAGCAACAGTAAAAATTAATTATCTGTGTTTTACGTCCATGCATGTGTTCAGTGAATGTTTCTCCTATTTTAAATGTGTGGGTGCAGTTTGGTTGGTTTAGCATCTCCAGCCCCCGATAACCGAAAACCGAGAGCATTACACACCTGCAAACCTTCCAAAAGATGAATTTCCACCATTTTAAAACAAAGTGTGTGACATCACAAGCGCATTAATCATTGAAACAGCCTCCGGACCTTCTCTGGGGACACCGGGGGAGCTGCAGAGATTAACAGCTCATGATAGAACAGTTATTAGTCAGGTTGGTATCTGAGACAGAGAGTGAAGTTCCCTAAGCTCCACAGGAGATATAAGTCATGCCTAAAAGAACAGGATCTCTGTTGTAACCGTGTGAACAGTTTTCTCCACAGGGTGCCTGGACTCTGCCTCAGGGTAAGGCTCTCAATCATTTGGGGATCTCGGAAAGAAGGCATTTGAAGAATCTCATCATGGTCTCTCCTCGGTAACTTGCTTTGAAGGTTTACTTTGTATATCTCAGTTAGAGGAGACCGTTGGTCAGATCCAGAACTGAAGGTTTAAATATGCCTCCTGGACCTGGAATACTCCAGATTGAGGTGGAGATTGTCTCTTGGTACATGGGTGGTTCTAGAAAGGGGGCAACAGGGGCCAGTGACTCTGTAGAACTGATCCTGGCCCCTGTTATGTTAATATAAGAAAGCACTAATGATGATATTCTCTGGATCATGCAAAGTAACTGATAGCTCCCTTTTACCCATTTCTTTTTTTCTTAACAATGATTTTAATATTAAGCTGATAGCTTTGGCCTTATTGAGATAGGATCAGTTTTCATCTGCTAAATATAATTTTGATCCAAATCTTTAAGGAAAAATGTTACAGCTGAACTGATCATTTTTACTTAAGTTCTAATTCCGATTTGATTAAAACAATTAATTGTAGTATAAAAAGTCTAAATATGTGATATTTCTAGATTATGGGGTAATATTCCAAAAAAATTGCTTTATTTATCTTTAAGTAGATACTTATATAGCAACTTATTATTTTAGTTACTTTTTCCTGCCCTGTGAGGAAAATGATAATTTCAAGCCAAAATAATAGGAATATTAAGTTGAAACAACATCAAAGTTTAATTAATCTAAATTATGTGGAAATTTCACTTCATTCAGAGCAGCGTTATGATTTGGTTTTTGGTTCTGCTGCTTTTTATATACATTTATTTACTATTGACCTGTTTTTTTGTTTCATGCTTTTCTGTGCTCCCATTAAACACGCTGCCCTCCCCAGTAAATATGTTCTAGAACCGTCACTCTCGTGGCAGACAGATGTTGTGGGTTCCTCCCTAATCTGTTAGCCTGTGACCTGATCTCTGATAAGCAGACGACAAAGGATGGATGTCGCTCTCCTATTAGTGTCAGTCTTCACTGCAGGAAAAAGTGCATCATATCTAGGTTTTCTGTATCTGTTCTCGCTCAGTGACAGCCTGACGCTGAGAGCCTCAGCAGGGGTTTGTTTAGGAAACACAGGATTAGAATGAGACAATAGATAACCTGTCTTTGTTCCACCTAGACTTCTGTCCTCGTCCTGCTGCTGCCGGCAGTCGCTGCATGACTTCTTCTATCAGTGAAAGTCACTGCAGTCCCAGCAGAAAAAGCTTTAAACTTCTTCTTAGAAACATTTGTCTTCTTCAAATCCACTTAAAGCCTGCAGGAGCTGCTGCTTCCCAAGAACATTCTTCCGATGGTGCAACACTCAGCTTTCTAATATACCGTAACAGTCAATGCATTTTTTTGCACCATGTCTTTTCTCGGAAAATTGTTTATATCTGATCACTGCTGCACTTTATGGAATGGAAATGTTCATTTATTGGGTGTGCAGGTAGAACATTGGTTAAAATGCACGACTTATGTAAGGTGGCTTTAGTCCTCGACGCAGCAGACCCCGGTTCGAATCCGACCTGTGGTCCTCTGCTGTATGTCTCTCCTCATATCCCCTTTCCTGTCAGACTACTGTCAAAAAAACAAGCCACTAGTGCTGTAAAAACTCAAAAGAAAAAAGGAAATTTTCATTTAAGCTGTGCTAAACAAAATTTGGTTTTGTGAACACTCTGTGTACAAAATGACAATAAAAGTTGTCTAAGTCTTAGAGATTTTGCAAACGTTATTAGGCTTTTTCTTGTGCAAAGGGGCTCCTTTATGTCTGCTTTCAGCATGGTTCTAAATAGGAATGAATAAAGTGCTTGGAGGGGTAAAAAAACAACAAACAAAAAAAAAACTCGCATCATTGCAGCACAGACGAAAACTAGAGATGAACAACCAGAAGACACCTGAACAGCTGTGTGTTTATCTCATAGTCTCTAGAGCTCTGCCATCTAATTAACGGATGGGAACCTTTTTGGAAGATGAAAGAGCTCCACTGACACACAAACTCATGTACATTTATTAAAAGCAGATGTTTCAATGATTTGCATTCATTGTTGAGAAAGACAACTCCATCCACAGCTTAGCTTCACTTTATTTAATAAAACCTCCCTTCACAGCTAAAGTCTGACTCCAGAAGTTGGGCGTGTTTGATGACGAGAAGGTGAGCCGACAGTCTTTCCTGGAACAAAATAATCCAAGATGGACCCTCATCCATGATATATGTAGAATCAATTAACCTTAAAAAAATTATCATTTTTTTGTCTCTTAAATGAAACTGTTTCATACCACTGCGGTTTAAATCCTTCCTACTTTAAGTTAGTGCTTATTTCACCAGCAAACGCATTTGGTTAAATTCCCCTGATGGCACTGTTATCCTGTTTCTTCTTCTGAGCAACCATAAAGGCCATGGCCCAGCTATTTCCTCCTTTTTGTCACCTGGTGCAATGACAACTCCTTGGATCTTGGCAGGGAGTGGTGGCCTAGTGCAGGGGTCTTCAACGTCTTCCAGGCCAAGGACCCCCAAACTTATGGTGAGATGGAGCGGGGACCCCCTAAATATATATAGTATGAAATTGTGTTATATCAAACTGGTCCTATAGTCACTCTATTAAAGATGGAGTAATGTAATGAAAGTAATTTCTCCCTGGGATTATTAAAGTATTTCTGATTCTGATTCCTGGTTGATGGGACAGGTGTTGTGAATGAAAGGGTGCCCAACTTCAAAGAGCTCCTATGTGGTGTACTGAAATTGGATCCCATTTTTCTTTTTTTCAAAAGAAATTTCTCTAATTTTTAAAGCTGAATGCATCAATTTTTTTGTTCTAATTTAGATTACATAGAAAAATGTAATTGTAAGTTAAATTAAGTCAAAAATATACAAAATTCCAAAATTATGGAATCCTGGCCCCTTGGTACATTTGGTCTAGAACCGCCCTAGCATCGATGACTGAAAGACATCTTCTGCCTCCATTTATCTGTTTACTACAGTGTGTTGAATTCATGTTAATGTGTATTTAAAAACAGTTCAATTAGTGGAAGAAATTGCAGGGTGAATATAAAAAAAAAGTCTAATAAACCAAAACATTCGCGACCCCCGTGCAGTACCTCTGGGGACCCCCTGTTGAAGACCTCTGGCCTAGTGGTTATGGCATAAAGCCTAGAAATCTGAGGTTCTGAATTTGAGCCCCACTCCCACAGCCTGCACTCTGGGTCCCTGAGCAAAGATTCTTAACACCACACTGCCCCCCTGGCACCGCACGATGGCAGCCCACTGCTCCCAAAGGGGATGGGTTAAATGCAGAGGTAAATTTCTCCAAAGCGAGGTCAAAAAAGTTCTATGATTATTATTATAAATGTCTCAAAGATTGAATAACTTGTTGTAGATTTTAGGCAAGGAGGTAACAGAATAAATGGTGAAGAAGTGCAACGCATCAACATCCAGGAATATTTGGGAAATGTGCATCAGAGTTTTGGGCCTCACTCTGGGAGAGTCAGGTCACTAAGAAGGCTGGTCAGGTCATTGACTTGGCTCATTGGCATTTCCTATTGACATGTTTTAACTTAATACCCTCAGATTGGCATTACTACATGCCTAAGATCAAAACTAATCATTAAAAACCTGCAATTAGGTTCATTAATCAAATGTCTGTTTTTCTGTGTTTGTTTGGCCGGGTTGCTGTAAGGATTTGCCCTTCATGATATTAATTACGTTTTCTGATTCTGATTGTGGGACATATCTAGAATTGAGCTCCAAATGGGCCGCACATTTCTCGAGCAGCTGAGGTTCAACAAATATATAAATATGGGTTTCTATAT